AAGGGGCCAAGGATGTTGCCTTATCTGCTCTTACAGGAATTAATGGTTTGATTTCGTATTCTCTTTTTCTTTTTCTTTTCTCATTGGAGGCAACCTTGAAAATGGAGTTAAAAATTTCTTCATTGTACAGCAACTATTTTTGCGTACGGGCAGACAAGTAGTGGGAAGACATTCACCATGAGAGGAATCACTGAAAATGCTGTAAAGGACGTCTATGAACACATAAATATTGTAAGTTACAATTTGATAAATAAATTTTTGTGTTGGATTTGCTCTTGTCATGCTTAAGTATTTCGATCTTACAGACCCAGGAGAGAGACTTTGTCTTGAAACTTTCTGCGCTCGAGATTTACAATGAGACTGTTGTAGACCTTTTGAATCGTGATTCTGGTTGCTTAAGACTTTTGGATGATCCTGAGGTATATAAAGGAGCTTCGTTTCACTTCTTTATTGTGACAATGAATCCTTTTGATATTTCAACGTTTTCCTTATTGACGTTTTATTTTGCAAAATACAGAAAGGTACCATTGTTGAAAAACTTGTTGAAGAAGTTGTCAAGGACAGTGAACATTTGAGGCACTTAATTGGCATTTGTGAAGGTAATTTTATCGGGTATTGTTTTAGCTCCTATATCTTCCTACATCAATATTCCTGGCTCACTCATAGTTTTTCTTTAAGTGTCATGGCACTTGTATAATCAATAACATATTGTACTTAACAAACTCTGCAGCACAAAGGCAGGTGGGTGAAACGGCTTTGAATGATAAAAGCTCAAGGTCACATCAGATTATCAGGCTGGTAAGATAGACTGTTTTTTTTTCCTCATTCATTTCAAAATTTATTAGTGTGTGCATTCTGTTTGAGTTTAGGTAGGTAACCCTCCCTGTGAATTGCAATGGCTTCTTCCTTTTTCCAATTTTACACTGATAAAGAATATATCAGCAGCACTAGCCACTGATCTGTTAATTCAAATGCTTGACTTCATCTGTTTTATTTTTCTAGTTCTTAAGTTTTATTTGAGCCTGAAAGTGGGATAAAGAAGGCTATCTTTATCTGCATTCATCTTGTCCACTCTCTTATTAACAGAAGTAGTCTAGAATTCTCATTTACTCGTATTAGCTTACTGGCGCGAGTAGCAACTTAATTCATAATTGATTAAGGCTTCTCAGAAAATATCTAGAAGTGCTAGAGATGCAAATTCTTTTAGATTTCCGTCTTTTAATCAACCAAGGAGCCATCTCGCTCAAACCTACACACTTGCACATTTATGTGGTTTATTCTCGAATCACAACTGCATGCCACTTTTTGTTAATTTTCTTTGTGCATGAGCACTATATCCCTAGTTCATATTCCATGGGAAAGGTGAAATCTTACACTGCTTGGATCACTCTGTGCAGACGATTGAGAGTAGTCTTCGGGAAAATTCAGAATGTGTGAAGTCTTTCTTAGCAAGTTTGGTATGTTTAATAATTTTTGCATTGTTTTACATTCTTGATCATAAATTGTTGTATGATTTGTTTGACCAAAGCACCATATTGCAGAATCTCGTGGACCTTGCAGGAAGTGAACGCGTCTCTCAAACAAATGCTGATGGTGCAAGATTGAAGGAAGGCAGTCATATTAACCGCAGCTTGTTGACACTCACAACAGTGATCAGAAAGTTGAGGTAAGCTAAATTCGTCTTGTGCTTCTTAATGCAGTTTTATAATTAAGAAATTATTTCAAGAAAACATTTCCTTCCTATGTCATGTTTGGAGTTCACAGGAAGCTTGCTTTACTTTCTTTGTTTTTTATGCAGTGGTGGAAAAAGAAGTGGTCACATACCATACAGAGATTCGAAACTTACACGTATACTGCAGAACTCACTTGGGGGAAATGCTCGAACAGCTATCATATGTACCATGAGTCCAGCTTTAAGTCATGTGGAGCAAACTAGGAATACTCTCTCTTTTGCAACTAGCGCAAAGGAAGTTACCAACAATGCCCATGTAAACATGGTAAGATAAGTAGATAACTAACAAAAATTAGAATATTCCAACAGTTAGAAGTTAATCTTATGGTGGCACCTCACCACCTTCTACATGTGCGGGTCTCAAGTCCTAGAGCAAAGAAGGTAGAATATAAGAAAAATATGTAGAAATGGACCTACTTCATATATGTAGAATGGCAACTAGCTTTGTTTGTTCAAGGGGTATAATTTGGTTACCAAAGGAAGTTAGTGGAAACTAGGTTTTCTGACTTTTGAAACTATTTTATAGGGTTACATGTTTAAAGCATACTTATACACATACAAAGGTAGATATTCATATTTGTCTGATGGCCCAAGTGATTTTATAATTTTGATGTTATTGCTAAGTATTATGCTGTTTGCACAACAGATTGTGCTCTTCATCCTGTTTACTCATATTGAGTCTTACAAAACTTCTTCATTATTTATTTTGAGCTTTCTTTGCAGGTTATTTCAGACAAAAGGTTAGTAAAGCATTTACAGAAGGAAGTGGCAAGGCTTGAAGCAGTGCTACGAAGTCCAGAGCCTTCTTCTGCTTCATGCTTCAAATCTTTATTGATGGAAAAGGAATTGAAAATCCAGGAGGTTATACGTCATACATGTTTCATAATGAAAGCTGAAAAACTCTTCTTCTTTATATGAGTTCTTTTATAAGGAGGATTACTTTCACCTTTGTAATGTTAATAGTTAAAAGTAACTCTTAACTTGCAGATGGAAAGGGAAATGGAAGAGTTAAAGCACCAGAGAGACATTGCACAATCCCAACTAGAACAAGAAAGAAAAGCATGCAAGGTAGAAAAGGTAAATATTAGCTAACTATGGTATCTATTTTCAGTTCCATCATTTCGTAACCCTCACCTTGTTCTGTTTTCAGGGATCGATTCAATGTGGGCCTTCCGGCCAAGTAGTCAGATGTCTCTCTTTTCCTGTTGAGAATGAGCCAGTTCCATGTGCTCCAGATGCTCGACCTAGGAATACAGTTGGAAGGCATTCAACACTAAGGCAGTCAGCCACCTCAACAGATCCATCCATGCTTGTGCACGAAATTCGGAAACTTGAGCAACTACAGAGGCAACTTGGCGAGGAAGCAAATCGGGCACTTGAAGTACTGCATAAGGAGGTTACTTCCCACAAATTAGGTAATCAAGAAACTGCTGAAACAATAGCAAAGATGCTGTCCGAAATTAAGGATATGCAAACAGCTAGCTCCATTCCTGAAGATATTGTGATTGGGAATGGGGCCAACTTGAAAGAAGAGATCACTCGGTTGAACTCTCAAGGCAGCACTATTGCATTGTTAGAGAAGAAGCTCGAGAATGTTCAGAAATCTATAGACATGCTGGTTTCATCTCTTTCAAATGGTGAAGAGACGCCAGAGTTCAAGACCCAATTGAAGAAGAAGAAAATTCTTCCTTTCACATTGAACAACAGCACAAACATGCAAAATATAATACGGGCTCCATGCTCACCATTAACTTCTTCCCGGAAGATAATGGAACATGAGATTGAGAACAAGGCCCCCAAGGATAATGAAATGGTCTCTCGCAGCCATAGATTGCCTGGCTCATTTAAAACTACTCCTCCAAAGGCTGATGATAAACACGTCTCTTCAAGAGAGGGAACTCCCTCTACAATGCAAACCAACTCAGTTGATGTGAAGAAAATGCAGAGGATGTTCAAAAATGCAGCTGAGGAGAACATCCGCAGCATTAGAGCTTATGTCACTGAGTTGAAAGAACGGGTGGCAAAGCTACAATATCAAAAGCATCTTCTGGTTTGCCAGGTGAGAACTACCTGACATTTAGTTATTTTTCATTGTATATATGTTGAACATTGACTTACGTCTTGATATCCATATTTTGTTTAAAAAATGCTCTGTTACTCCACTGTTGCTTAGGTGTTGGAGCTGGAAGAAACAAAGGAGGCTGGAACTGATGAGACAGAAAGTATTCTTCAATCTCCAATGCCATGGCACCTAGTGTTTGAAGACCAGAGGAAGCAGATTATCATGTTATGGCACTTGTGCCATGTTTCAATTATACATCGAACGCAGTTTTATTTGTTGTTTAGAGGAGATCCAGCTGATAAGATATATATGGAAGTTGAGCTTAGAAGGTTGACATGGTTGGAGCAGCACTTTGCGGAGCTTGGCAATGCAAGCCCAGCACTTTTGGGCGATGAACCTGCAGGTTCAGTCGCATCAAGGTTAGTTAAGTTTTTTCTACTAACTAGTGATTTTATAATACATGTTCTTTATAAAGGTTGATTGCAATTCAATTCTTGTGTCCATGAATTGTCTTTTTGAAAACCTCAACACTCATATTGTTGCTTGGTGTTGAATGCAGTATCAAAGCACTTAAGCAAGAAAGAGAGTATCTAGCAAAGAGGGTGAGCTCGAAACTGACAGTAGAGGAGAGAGAAGCGCTGTATTTGAAATGGGAAGTTCCAGCGGTGGGAAAACAGAGGAGGTTGCAACTGGTTAACAAACTATGGACAGACCCTTTGAATATGCAACATGTGCAGGAGAGTGCAGCAATCGTTGCCAAACTTGTTGGGTTTTGCGAGTCAGGTGAACATATCAGCAAGGAGATGTTTGAGCTAACCTTTGTTAACCCTGCTGATAAGAAGTCATGGATGGGATGGAATTTGATTTCAAATCTCTTGCATTTGTAAAAAAAAAAAAAAAAAAAAACCTGTTTACTCCTATTGGTTCTTTGTTCTGTTGACATAAAAATTCTGTTGGCATTCCTCCCTCGTAAATTTTCCTTCGAAATCGAAATAGTTGTGGCAAAATTTATAGCGAGAACAGGACTTTAATGGGACTATTTTCCAACCTGTTCCATCAAATGTTGCAAATTTTCTATTGAATTGGGATTTTCTAAGATTTTGGGTTATGGATCATCAGATCAAATCTTGACAGTAAAGAAAAAAAAAAGGCAATGCCAAGCCCATAATAATTAGAAAAAAAATTCCTCCCATATTGCCTATAGAAAAAAGAAAGAAATGAAGGGGGTATAAGAGTATTTTTACCTATTTCGTCGCTGGAAGAACCGAGCAGAGTAAAAAGCTTCACCGTTACCCTAATAAACCCTTTCTCGCTAGCTCCTTTCCTCTCTCTGAATTTGTTGTCGCCGAACAACCCCTTCGTGAACTTAACAGTTGAACGGAGAAACAAAGAAAAAAAATGGGAAGAGAAAGAGAAACTCCAAAAGAGCAACAACAGGTTTCTTACACAGTGGAGCAGCTTGTGGCCGTCAATCCTTACAATCCCGACATCCTCCCTGATCTTGAGAACTACGTTAATGAGCAGGTCCCTCTTTCTATCAACTAATAATCTCGTTCGATTATATAAATTTTCATCATTTGGGATAAATTTATAGCTTTTTTTTTTCTTTTAAGAAAAAAAGGTTTTTTATGCGTTTGATTTAAAGTTTTTGAGTATCTGAATTTTGGGTCTTATTATATTTGGTTGGATGATTTCGGAGTCAGCTTTGATTTGGTTGGATACTGGCATTATGGCGATCTGAATTTGATTGCTTCTGTAGTCTTGTCTATCTGCGGAAAAAGAAGAGATTTTTGTAAATTTAAGTTGGACCATTCAATAACGAAAAGCTTCTTACCATTAGCTGTTAGCATCTTAGATTGAATTGTTATGAGATCCCTTTTAAGTTTGATAAAACCTTTGAGTTTCTGTTTGGGTCCTCTAGCGATGAACATGGCATAACGATGCTTTACTTTTTTTTATGTTGGAATGCAATTTTTGTTGGTGTATCCCTACAATATGTTCTTATTACTTGATTGGAAAACATGTTCTGAGTTGGAAACCAAAAAGTACCACTCACATCTAGTGGAAGTTGCTAAAATGATGAACAAATTTTATCTTTACCAGGTTTCATTGCAAACATACAGTCTGGATGCTAATCTCTGCCTTCTTCGCCTCTACCAGGTACTGTCATTCGTTTCATTTGTCGTCTGTCTTGTTTGGGGCTGTGTGTGTATGTGTGTATGAGAGAGAATGGAAGAGAGAGAGGACTAAACCTCTATATACTGCTCAAATTTCCAGTTTAGCCTGTCTTAAGAAGGAAAAAGATGAAACATAATTTAGGTTAAAAAAATTACTAGTTTCTTAGTTGTTACTAATATGATATTTTCTTTGTCCCTGTAGTTTGAGCCTGAGCGTATGAGCACCCAAATTGTTGCACGCATTTTGGTTAAGGTATGTTTAGGCCCTTCTCTATACCAAATTAGAATTATGTATCAGCTTATTAGTATGAAATGTTGTTCCTAATGCTTTCTTTTCCTCCTTGTCCCCCTGCTTTTGTGCAGGCCCTCATGGCAATGCCAGCTCCAGATTTCAGCCTTTGTCTCTTTTTGATTCCAGAGCGAGTGGTATCATTCTCACAATATATATTTACTTTCATATTTCCATTTCAACTACATTTAGGTATTGGCAATTAAGCATGTTTGAATGAGCATTGTCATAGGCTGCCTGTCTTGGCTCTTAGGCCTAACATGTGAATTTCAAACCTGTAATCCTAGGGAAATTGGGAAATTATAGATTCTTGTTATCCAATGAATTTCGCAAAATTCATTAATCATTGCAGTAAATATGAAAATATGTACACTTTTCTTTGTTAAACTTGAAAAATTCTGCCTATGTCCTTTAACAGTGAGTAAGTCTTGTATGTCATGATAAGTTTCATAGTTAACGTCATAAGCATGTATTGCACATACATGCACTTGTGAGAACTATTTAGGTAAGCACATTCATGACTCAAAGAGATCATCATTGTAAAGTCTACAAGTTCTTTTGTTTTCTGTTTCATCGTTCCATCTTTACCAGTTTGCCCAACAGTAAGAAAGCTTTTGTTATTCTAAGTAACATTTTGTATGTGATATCAGCAAATGGAGGAGCAGTTCAAGACACTGATTGTTCTCTCCCACTATCTGGAGGTATTTATTTGTTTTGTTCAGTAATTTATGAGCAGTAATGAGATGGATGATTTCAATGTATGATTATCTACTTCATTTGTAGACTGGAAGATTTCGTCAGTTCTGGGATGAAGCAGCTAAAAGTCGTCATATAGTTGAGGCTGTGCCAGGTAATAAACTGTGATGTAGTGAATTTGATGTATGCATCTATGCATTTTTTGTTTGAATGGATGAACAATGCTTCAGCCAAAAAAAAAAAAAAAGAAAGAAAAAGGGCACTGCTGGTTTTAAAGGAATGATTGCAAGTTAACAACTGGACAGTCAAGCTGTTAACTGTTATCTTTTCATTGTTGTATGCTGCTGCTGCTGGCAGAGACATTGTTCTTTTATTGCTACTCTATTGTGTGTGTGTGTGTGTGTGGCTTACCAGAGGATTGAATGCAGGTTTTGAGCAAGCAATCCAGGCATACGCCATTCATGTCCTTTCCCTGACTTATCAAAAGATTCCAAGACCTGTACTTGCTGAGGTACGTAGAGCTCATTTGTTTCATATGCATTTCGCGTCTTTGTTGTTGTGATTTGAGACTATCTGTCTTCCCTTATCAGTTAAATATGATACGTCAATCTTATGCTGTGGTTTGGGTGTGTGACAGGCTATTAACATTGAAGGTCTATCCTTGGACAAATTCCTTGAACACCAGGCGGCCAACGGCGGCTGGATTCTTGAGAAGGGTCATGGCAGGGGTCAACTAATAGTCTTACCTCAGAACGAATTTAATCATCCTGAGCTGAAGAAAAGTGCTGCTGATAGTGTTCCATTGGAGCACATCACCCGTATTTTCCCCATTCTCGGTTAACCTCTTGTACGGATGATGACTTTTTGGAGTAATTTCCCCAAGTTTTGCATCCTTCTCTTTGTTTTTTTTTGTCTTGGATATATAACGAGAACAAGCTATTTTAAGAGCCTCGTCAAACTATGTCAAAGATTAACTTTGAGGGGTACTTTTTTATTTTTTGTTTTTCACCATCATAATATAGTTATTTATTATTTTAGATTTTGGCAACTCCATTTTTACTAATTCAATTAGCTTATATGAATTGAATTTTCATAGATGTTATTGACAAGTATGTCTAATGTTATTAAAAATTAGATAAAATTTACTAAAAATAATATATTACTATTTTATATACTAAAATTATTAAAAATATTATTAAGATTATAAAAAATTATTAAAATTCAGTAATTTTATTTTCAATATTTCAATTAGCCTATGGTATTGAATGTTTATAAATCTTACTTTCAAGTACATTTAATATCACTAAAAATTATAAAAAAAAAAAAATCATATATTTTGAGGTTAGGTATTTTGTATACCAAAAAAATAATAACAATAATATAAGAATGGCAAGAGTGCCAGTGTGTTTCTTAGGCTCAATGGCCGGTGGGAGTGAAGTTTTTATGTAGTTGTTACCGTTATTTCATTTAATTTTGGGTACTAATGGGTGTTTTAAGTGTTGTAACAAGGATTACTGTTTTGCTCTTAGATTGATGGCTCAACGAAATAGTCGTTACTGTGTTAATAAATTCAGCTTCATGTACCAATGTGTAGGGCGTTTGGTCTAGTGGTATGATTCTCGCTTTGGGTGCGAGAGGTCCCGAGTTCGATTCTCGGAACGCCCCTCCTTGTAGGTTCTTTTGTCTTATTTAAGAATGGTTGCGTATTTGCCTTTTTTTGAGAAAACAAAGATAAAATAACAGAAACCGACAAAAGCACAGATCCTTGATGAAGTAATCATAAAAATGACTGGTTCTTGTAAGTTGAGTCTTCACTACACGACAGAATCAAATAATTGATCCACTAGTGCTTTTGCCGCTCAGGGTCACGGGTGCGGAGCTGACTCTGAGAATACGACGCTGAACCAGCAAGCCAAGACATGGCCTCTAGACACCTCGGCACGCACCAGAAAACTGAACTCCAATCACCCCAACTATATACTCAAAGCTATACCAGAAAAATTGTCGGCCGAACAGTGCCCACTAACCTACCTTTCTTTCCTGCTTTCCATAAGATAGTTTTAATCTTCTACCATATTGGACCTGAAGAGACTTGTTCATAAATTGAATCCTCGTCACAATGCAGAGATTCTAATTTGAACACCAAAAATTGCAACATTTATCTAACTCAAATTTGTATTTAATTTGCCACAAAAATATTTCTTTTCGTGGAGTTGTTCAAATTTATGTTTTGGATAAATGTTAAATTGTTAGTACTGGAAAAAGAGGCAAGTACTAGTGTCACGGACCTAAGGGGGAGTCCTGAATCCCACATCGAACATAATAGGAAGGTCCCTGGGGTATAAAAGGGTTCACACCATCTCTGCCTTGTGAGGCGTCTTTTGTAGGACAAAACCGTGAGGCCAAGGGGGCCAGAGCGGACAATACCTCACAAGGGTGTGAACCGTGGCGGAAGGCTGATCTGGGACGCCGGAAGGGTGAATGCCCGGGTCCCGGAGCCGCGCGGGTTCGGAGCTTGAGTCTCGACCCGTGACAAGTGGTATCAGAGCCAGCCCTAAACCGTTCGATCCACGCTGAGCGCCTCGAGGGAGGTAGGCAGGGTGGCCGACCTCCGTGACGAGGGCGTCACGAGGTTGGGTGCGGGAGAATGTCACGGACCTAAGGGGGAGTCCTGAATCCCACATCGAACATAATAGGAAGGTCCCTGGGGTATAAAAGGGTTCACACCATCTCTGCCTTTTGAGGCGCCTTTTGTAGGACAAAACCGTGAGGCCAAAGAGGCCAGAGCGGACAATACCTCACAAGGGTGTGAACCGTGGCGGAAGGCTGATCTGGGACGCCGGAAGGGTGAATGCCCGGATCCCGGAGCCGCGCGGGTTCGGAGCTTGAGTCTCGACCCGTGACACTAGTTTCTTGAATTTTTAACGTAAAGTTCTCTAATTAAAATTTTAAAATTAAGTGATATCATATAATAAAATTCCTAGACTCTGAAGACAAATTTTTTAAATTTCACAAAGTAACATATCTTTTGAAGTATAGTAAAAAAACAAAAACATTATGGCAACTTTTTAACCTTACTTTGTAAACTAATTAAAAAAAAAAAAAAACATAACATAATTTTTCAAATGTATAAACTAAAATCAAACTCTAACATGTAATCGTTTATTTTCACAATGAAGAGAGACTCAAAATGTAAACGTTTATAGAAGCAACAATTTGAAAATCAATCTTCCCCTTCTTTGAGCAATAGATGATGGAAGACATGAACTTAAAGAAGCTGCAACCATTGAGTACGGTTTTCCGCAATTATAGACCAACAAAAAAACGACTATCAAAACAAAGAATGTTTATAAAATAATAAAAGAAAAACGAAGTTAAAATATGTTTTTTTTTTTTTAAATGGCTTGGAAAACAAACCCCAGGTGGCTGAAAATTAAAGGCAACATCAGTCCTGTAACTGGTTCTTCCCCCAAATATCTTTTAACTGCAACCTTAGTTTCATGTCTGCACATGAATAAACTTGAAAGGAAAAAAAGAATCAATGACCTGAAATCCTAGAAGCGGAGCTCTCCAAAAAGCAGAGGCACAATATTTACAAGACTGATGCCTATAACTTCCATTTATCGATTGAAGGAATTAGAAAAATGGATGAGCTCCGAAAAGAATTTCTTTTTTAACTGTTGACTATTTACTCTTTTGTACGAGTATCAGTTTCTGGTTGAGGCTTTTGCTGCCTATAGTCATACATGAGGGCCAAAACGACTGCTGCTGGAGGGTATCTTACATATGAGTTCCAGTAAAACTGCTTCTGCTTCGCCCTTGATTTTTGCTACCTAAATTGGTTTCCATCCATGGCTTGATCTTGGATCTTGGAGTCGTGTCATGGACATACAAAAAGGAGCAAAACTTTAAAGGCAAAGCATCTGACCGTAGTTTACCCACTGCACAAAACTATCAGAGAATTCCTCAGGAACATTGAAATTCTGCAAATTACCAAAGGGTAGCTCCGTTCCTGTCTGCCGCCCTCCCTACATGATATATAACAAGGGTTAGCCATTATCTTGCGCATGGAACAAACTCATAGCTGCATTTTCTAGTTGTCAAAGAGTTATCCGTCTTGAGTAAAATATTTTCCAATCATATCCAAATGTGTTGACATGTTTTTCTTATTTTCCACCATCGATTGCTTACTAATTAGTGTTCATCAATATTACAGCATAAATGGTAGAAAGTAAGCCAACGCCAACATACTCTCACCGAAAAGAATAAAATTTTGTTGGGAACTCTGCTAAATAATCAGTAACTACTATAGTTAGATTGAGCTGATACCGAAACTTGATCTAGATATAGTATATTTCTTTTTAATTTTTTACAATAAGATCTATATATGGTTTATACTAAAACACAACCATGAAAGTAAGATCTCAAGAACTTTCTACCACCGTTATGAGTACCAACCTTCATACTTGATCCATATTCACTAGTGGATGGGGTTGTTTCTACCAATATTCCATTGACAACATTCTCCAATGAAAGTCCAGCAGCCGAAGAGCTTGTCAGCACTGATGACCTGCAGATATCTATGACAATGATTGAACTCTATTTTCCTATCATAATTTATTCAAACTATTTATCCCCTGATTTTATTTTATAGTAATTAAAAGAAATTGAGAAGACTGGCTCAGTACTCCAAAGAATGCAGAATGTCCATCCTTACCTAGTTACCTTCCAGGTACAACCTCATAGAGAAAGTAGTCAAAGAACAGCACCCCTTTTGAGTGTGTGCATGCATGTTGAGGGTTATTATGGAACTATTTAAAAGTACCTTTTTTTCATATGCCAAAAGACTATTAACAAGCGCTATCTTGAATGGCAACTATGCTGTGGGATTGGGGAACGGCAAGTTCAATTCTAAATAACAACATAAATAACATCAATTTTCAAGTAGCAGCTCTTTTAACCTACAGTACAGGTAAAAAGCATTTGTTACAGAGGTACCATGTGGCTAAAATATGCATTTGTTAACATCTCATGCTCATGAGATCTTAAAGTTTGAGCTTTAGAACATCCATGAATTACAGAAAAGGAAAAAGTACCTTTCAAATGATTCATCCTCGCAAGAATTTCCAGAGGATGAAAGCCAGTCCAGGTCAACAAAGTTAGAGCACTTGAACCCATCCCCGTGTTCAGAGAAGAAAATATGATCGGTTTCAAGACAGCGATCTCTTTGCACGTCTCCAAACAGCTGCCTTTGAGGCATTGAGGGTGTATACCTACACAGGATTGAAGAGAGCCATATCAATCAAGAGATGTAAAGGGAAAACCATGAATGTAGCATGCTTACATGAAATCCATTAATTTGGTAAACGTGAAACATATGGTTCCAACAACTGATTCAAACAGCAAAATTTAAACAAAAATTAAATTTATGAAAGCATTGATACAAAACAGTAACTCGGCCAAAATGAAGATGCAGATTCGATATAATCTCCCAACAGTTTATGGAGAGTAGATAGCTGTGGCTTTCAGTCGGAAACAGATGACACTAGAAAGTAGAGAAAGACATGCAACAATGAGAATGGAAAGCAAGGAACCTTGAATACGATATATCACTTTCACAAGTCGATATTTCAGGCGATGATTCTGAAAGGCCATTACTTCCTCCTGATTGGTTAGGCAAAGTTGAATTGGTAAATTTCTCTTGCTTGTCATTTGTGGCCGACACAGGTGAAGCACTTTGACGAAGAATGTTTATATCAGAAAATGATTTGAAAAGTGACCTGAAAATTAAGGATTAGAAAGTGAAGAAATAAGCAGCGGTGAGATCCTCTTCTCAATTAACTAAGTAAAAGAGTAAGAAATAGTCAAATGACTAACTACAAAATCAAAAACCAAAACAAAGAAGAAAATGAAATGCAAATAAAATGTTAATAAATCAGCATCATATCCATATATCACCTATTATTCCCTGATGTCAGATCAAGCACATAAAAGTAAAACTGTGAACAAGATTCATAGTTTTTTTTTTCAAAAATTGAAGACCCAAGCAACAGAGAATGCATGCTGCGGACAACAGCACCATCAACCCATCCCAGTGCCACAAAGACGACATTTGTTTTGACAACTTAAAACTTAATGATAAATATTCATAGGCATGTAAACCAATTAAACACAAAAGCAAGTCTAACCAATCAATTTCACTAAGACCCCATACAGAGGTGCTGATGAGAAAAAGTAAAATCTTCAAATGAAAAATACATTATGAGAAAAAACAAATCCAAGGAATTTGATCCATCTACATTCCCTAAAACCACAAGGTTCACGATGAAACATCTATACTAGCTGGCACCACATCACTGTTTGGCTTTGCATTCTCACAAGTCGCAATGAGCTTCTCATACCAGCTGACAGTCAAAATTCAGATCAAGTCTACGTCAAGAATTTCCTAATTAATGAGGAGAAAGTTGACCATTTAAATCTAGAAACTGCAAGAAGCATTTTAATGTATATGTGGTTCCCTAAAAAGAATGAATGGAGGATATTTGTAATCACAAGTTTATGCCCCAGTTAAAAAGTTAAGGTTTTCTTCAGAAAGCCACCTTCCATCTTCATCCACAATTGTTTCCCCATTTCTTCCCCCATAATGCTGATCCGAACCCAACTCCCAAAGTGCAGGTTTACCAGGCTGGGGCTGGAAATGCCCAAGAAATCTGCACAAAGAATTATTAAAAAAATTATAATAATAAGATCTTAATAGCAAATATTTAATAAATAAATTGCAGAAAATTACAAACAAAATGTCAAATTGACTAACTCCAAACAAAAAATGACTAGCCTTTTATTCCAACGCATCATAGGATGTATTAACCCCAAAAGGCCAAATTCAGATATACTTCAAACTGGTAGAACAGGATACTCCAAGACCATTCAGTGTTAAGAGAGCCAGCCATCAATTTTCACCCAAAAAAGTAATACAAACAAATGACTGAAACTTACATATTAACTGCATCTTGTTTCTCAGCATCCATGTATGCATTGCTATAATATCGTTGAAGAGTTCTAAAAAATTCCTGGGACTGGGTTGCTGCTTTCCATTGACCCCTTCTCTGAGAGAATATCTGCATAGATATAAAAGAACAGAAAGTTAACCCCTTCTCTGAGATAATATCTGCATAGATATAAAAGAACAGAAAGTTAACAGACTGAGGATTGTATTCAGGACTAAACTTGGACAGGAAACAGAAGTACAGTACAAGTGTTTTAAGTAACAGATCACTTACTATGTTGTCCTCATAATCCATTGACTATCACTTCTCAAAGTACAGATATCAGAATCACATAAAATACTCAAAGGTTAATTGATTTTCACTTTTTTGTTCTAATTATGTGAAGTTAGATAACAACTACCACAATATCTCACGCTCAAATCAAACAAAGCAAATCAATGGAACATAGAATGCACTTACGATGGATTAACAGGTTGAAAGATCAGGAGTTTTAACCTCTAGGAAAAGGTACAACTTATTTCTATCAAAATTTGTCAACAATATGGTTCTTGATCATATTTTAGAGAAAACCCCAACTGTAGAGAAACCTAAATTAATGATTTAAAAGAAAAGGAAAAATCAACGATACAGAATCTAAAGAAGCCCATTCTATTCCACCTTTGCAAATTGCATATGGTTGCACGTGAGATCGCAAAAGTTGGAATTACCTTATTATGAGCTGCAGAGCCACCATATTGGTGCGCAAGTGTGTCACCCATTCTCTCATAGAAACCCATTAATTCATCTGCCAAAGGATCATTGATGTCTATTTTGGGGGTATCTTTAATCCCCAAAGCATGAAGCTGGTGTCCAAGAGCAGCCAATCCATATGCATACTGTGCAACATTTGTGCGATCCAGACAATCTATACAATTGGTCCTAAGCACACCTCTTTGGAATGTGGAAGGCTTGACAGAATGATTTCCGTTAGCAACATTATTATCCCCAGAATAATTCCTCTCCAATCTGTAAACATCCTCATTAACATTGTTGCAATATTTCTGGGGTGACATGTCACCATCATCGTTATTCCTGCATCATATTTTCAGAACCAAAACTACATTTTCAACTTGCAGCAAAGAGAACTACACAAATGGTCAATATTTTATAACATGGCATTATTACAATCCCACCATAACTACATTACTATAAGATAAAAGGCCCAAGTTATTCATAAAGCCAAGTATTTATCTAATGCAAGAATCTAACACATTGCAAATTTGAAAACCTAGCTCATAAAGGGGTTAGACAAAGAGCACAGAGAAAGGGAGAAAGATTGTGTCTGGTATCTGGACTACTACCTAGTTAAACTGATGTTTTGGTAGGTTAAATTACTTTTCCACACCAAAAGAATTGCAACTAAAAAGCTAATTACAACCATCTTTACAAACATTTCACATATGAAACTGAAAGTTATTGAAATATGATAAACTTACTCAGAGGAAGGCCATGCCATGCACTCCTCAGATCTCAAGGCTGATGTCACCCGACAATAAAAGAAACCTGTTAGCGTTAATGCATACGCAGCCACTTTGACCAAAAGCAGCAAAACATTTGTCGCTTTGCTGGAAGGAACAAAATAGAGTTCTTGAGCTGGTTAGGAATCAAACTGTGAAAATAAAAATGAATAAAAGCAAAGAGCAAAGAGGAAGGGATATTGTGGGGGAGATTGGAAAACATGCATGCATTAGAGGACAAAATAACAAACTTAGGACATATACCTCTGAGAATGCTTATGTAGATCCCAGTGAAGGAACCTCAAATGGTTCTCTTCTGACAAATCTTTATTGATAAAATCAATCGCATTTGCAAACTCTTGACGAAGAATTGACTCTCGAGGCTTTTTCTCTTGTGTCTGCTAATCACACAAAGGCAATCATATTCAGAACCTGATTATCAAATCAGTCAAATCACATATGTAGAAGCTAAATCAACAAACTCCCCAACTGAACTGCCCATCTTTGATCATGTGGAAATGGAACTATTTGAAGATTTTCTACCACATGCAATATCATTAGGAGATACAGCAGTTTATTAAATAAGAAAAAAAAAATGGAACAGTATGATTCTAAAGAGAATGATGAAGGCATACAATAGAATGGCCTTTAAGGGATACAAGGTGATGTGATGAAACTTACCTTAATCAAATTCAAAATAATTATGGGGTTGCCATATCTCTTGACAAGATTTTCAAAATGAAGCCTGGTTGCTACATAATTTTGGTCCTTCTTTGACACTGGAAAGAGAGAAAAGAGGATCAGTGCTTTTCTTTTTCTGAACAAAATAAAAATGGCTGCAGCAACACCTAAAGTACTCTCATAGATTACAAGCACATACGTATGATATCTGGTTTAAGATTCAATTTAGAAGTTTCTTGTGACCAAAAGAGTGGGATTGAGCCTCGGTTCTGGACAATGGAAGTTATTTGTGTGGGAAGCCCATCAGGTACATCCTCAAAGACAATCTGCTCTGTCTCAACGTCATTAGCAACTCTGCCTTTCTCATTTACTCCTCGTTTCAAATACCTAAATGCAAAATCAGTGCACATGAAGACAAAGAAGTTTAAACCTTATCCTTCCATAACCATGTCACAGACAATAACAAAAGTACTAAAGGTAACCAAATTTGGTTTCATCCCACAAAGCACTACAATAACAATAACTTAAAATTTTCCCGCTAATGGGGGACAAATTTCTTACCTGGTACCTGCATAGTGACGGGATCGTCTTGCAATGAGTGTAAGTTTAAAATCTCGTCCAGATACAGAAAGCGTTGCCTACATTCATATAGCTCAATGTCAAGCTATGAAGCTTACAAAGAAATAGCAACCATTCATCTATTGAACACAACAAAACTGAATAAAACATTAGCTAATGATAACTTCAAATAAGCATCCATCCTTAACCTGCTTAAAGAAGCCATACACCAATGCAACTGTCCATAGAGTATTCCGGAGATGATTGCGGATCCCTCGGGTCAGGAACTCATTCCAAACAAACATGGTCTCATAAAGAACCTGGCCTGGTTCATTATTACACAAATTTTTTTGAAGACTACGCATAACATGGTATGAATAGCTGAAGAAGAAGTCCTTTGTAAGATCCACTGTGCATAGGAGCTTCTTGTATCTAAATGAAAAAATGAAACAATTAAAATCAAATTAAACACTATATGCATGAAATGTGTAGCAGAAAAGGCACTAAGCTTAGGAAACAAATACAGAGGAGACAGAATACCATGGCAATAGTTTTCTACTTATCACATTACAGAACAGAACATCTTTCTGCAAAACATTCATGACTTCCTAGCAGTAGGCAAAGTTATTAGCACAGAGAATAGAAGAAGACCTGTTCTCATTCTTAGAGTCGGCGATGCTTGTGTTAACAGTAGAATTTGGGAGGGGAATCATCTCACTTTTTGAAACTGCATATACATTGTGACCACAAATTGCACCAATCTGTCTTCGTTCCGTAATAATCAGCATATAGTAAGGCCCCAAAAACTTAACAAACCCTAAAACATGAAAAATTTTGGGTATTAGATATGCATTTACATAACATTAATAGTCCCCTAAAGTTGTAACAGAATTACAACATCCATACCAACAATGCCATAACAAATGGTGACGAATTTCAATCCACCCGTTGATATATTTCCATCATGTATTCGCCTCAAAAACTCAGAGCATTCACTCTCCGTATACATGGTAGAACCTTCGCGAATGTTTAAGTCAGAAGGATCAAGCCGGTCAATCTTTAACACTCTCCAATAAGTTCTGCTCTTATCCCTTCCAATCATATAAAAATTCTATACACAGACATCACAATGCAATTAGTCAAAATAAAATTTAGCCACTTAATTTAATAGTTCAACATTAAAACAATGCTATTTTAAGTAAAATTACATCTAAATTAAGTCACTGACAACAAAAATTAATGAGATCATAATGAGATCAAAGCCAACAAATAAATAATAATGAAATGAAAAACAGAGATTAAAGAAAAATTACCGATCGAGTTTCGTAGAGTTTGAATTTCTCCATACAGATGGGGGTTTGGGATTGGTAGGAGCTCTCATTATTGTTAATATTATCACAATTTGCTGCTGCAGATGATTCCATGATAGGCTTCTTTTTTTCACCGTTTTCAATTTCTGGTTTCTCAGATCTCCCCCGAGCCCTTGGCTCAGGGAATTTATCAGAAGAGCATGCACTAACGACGGAACTTTTTGCTATTATTATTGTTTCCGTTAAGAGAAAATCCCATAACTTAATCCGGAATTACCTTATTCTTGCCAAAATACAATCTGCCCTCCTTTGCAAAATAATGAAGCTTGGCTGCTTCAACTACAGCATCTTCTTTGGAATCGATAAGAAAAAAGGAACAAAGAAATGGAAACTCAGAAAACCTGGCTATGGACGTTTGACCTTTCCTTTTTCCGGCTCCGACTACCTTTCCATCCACAACGAAAAAAAACAAATGCGAAACGCTGAATTTCCCCCAAAACTAGTCAGAATTTGTGATCTTCTACGGCCAGAATTACAGAGATCGAATAAATTAAACAATATTGTATTTACTTTTATACATAAAAAAAAAAGGAAATCTTGCGTTTTTATTTTGTGCAGTGGGCTAAAAATAAAAATGGAAGGTTTAAAAACGAAGAGAAGATCGAACTTAAAAAATAATAATAAAAGAAAAATAAAATAGATTCTCGCAGTTTCGAGAAAAAAAATTTTTTTGGAGATGAAAAGATGGCTGCTAGGCTAATATTAGTGATGATGTTATTGCTGTTTAGCTTTGTTGTAGCTGTTTTTTGTTGTTGTTGTTGAAATGTTTTGATGATGGATGATGATGATGTCGTGTTTAGATATAGGAAGGGGATAAAAATAAAATAACAATGAAATGAAAACGAAAATAATTTCCCTTTCTCTTCTTCTTCAGATCCAAAGAAGAAAAATCGAAAACCACAACTTCCGTGTCCGCTACATCCACACATTATATTTACCTTATGTTAAATGATGATTATTATTATTTATTTTTAATACTATATTTGTTTGCAATAATATTGAGATTTGATTTGATTTTTCTCCGCTGACCTTTGTTAATTTAATTTAATTTATATAGACCGACTCAATTAGTCGTTTAACATCTGTCCTATGTCTTGGAATAGTTTTAATGCTTCCATAATCAAATTACTTTCAAAAAATTTATTATTTTTGATAAAAAAATCTATCTCTTTATCACAATGATTAAATATGATAATTTTAAATAAAATATAATGATATGATATAAAAAATAATTTAAAATTATAATAAAAATTACATTTGAATTTGAAAAAAATTAAAACAATATTTTTTACTTAATATATAGATATGAATTTTTGACATAATAAATTTTATATTTTATTTATGTTAAATACAAATTAAATAAATATAAATATATAAATTATCAAATTTAATAAATTTGTATAAATTTAATTATTTACAAAATCTATAAATTTGATTATGTTTACCTTTTATTTTGGTTCATAAAGTATATTTACATAATATTTATTTAAAAAAGGTTTAAAAATTTATGTCATTTTTGTTTTAGCTATGGTAATTATTAGGGTGGGTTAACGCATGAAATGAAAAGGATAAAAGGTGGTTAAGAATGGTTTTGGCAAAGCTAGCTTGCTTTCCTTTGGGCTTGGAAGATTGGTCTGCAGTTGAATTGGGGTTGGTAATTTGGTGCCAATAAAAGATGGGTACGTGGTTGAATGAGAAGAATCTATTTAAAGCTTTTTTCGTGGTATAACCACCAAAAGCATGTGACCCGGACGGCTAACTCAACTCGTCTAGACTCTAGACTCAAAAAGCTGGCCTTTTGATTTCACCTTTTTTGCCTGTGTCGTGCACGAACAGCTGCTTTTACTTTTTTTTTTTTGCCAAATAAATTATTATCACCAAGTATATACTTTTTTTAAATTTTTTCCAAAAATTAGTTCTCTTATTATTAGTAGAAACATGTCAAATACTAAATTTGATAATTTTACATATAATATGATAATATAATATAAAAATAATATATAAATTTATATATAAATTTAATATAATCGTATTTCATAACTTAATAATAATAACACGGTTAAAACATGATATTTTTATATTATGTTTATGTTAAATAATAATGACATATTTAAGATATGATATTTTTTATAATATACAAAATTTAAATATAATTTTAATTTATTTAAAAATAAATTAATAATTATATATATCTTATCATTTTAATAATTAAACAAATTATAAATAGTTAATTTTTAAATAATTTTTTGTTTAAATACTAATTAAATGATATTTTTTATTTAAATAAATAAATTAATTATGTCTAATCATGTCATTAGTATATAATCATATTAATCGTATTGTATCATTTCATATTATTTAAGTAATTAATTATATTTAATCATGTTATTCATATATAATTATATTAATCACGTTGTATTAATTGAATATAAATTAATTTTAAATATATTAATCATACTGTATTACATGTAAAATATATAATAAATATATCATATTTATTCTTAAATTATTCGTATAATTCATATTAAAATTATTCATATCGTGTTTGATATTAAATACAATATAATGATATAAATTATCAAATATATCAAATACTTATAAGATTTGTATTCGATTTAAACTGTTAACAATTTTTTAGGTAAAATTTACTGCATGTTCTTAAAATGAGATGATTTTCTATCATTTAAATATTTTAGTAAAAAATGTATTAGTATAAATATAAATAATAAATGATAATAATGTGAACTGTGAAATCATGATCTCACAGTTGCTTCCATGACTGCAGCTGTGTTTTAACTGTCAATTTAATATACTACTGGAATGACTGATGCACATTGCAGGCTGCTCATATTTCCTTATCATCAGATCCAGGGAAAAAAAATCACAAGATTCATAGGTCCAGGTGGCCTCAAGCACGAGATTGAAAATGTTGAAAATGTAACTTTTTAACTTTGATGATTTAAACCAAAAAAAAAAAAAAAGGAATTTCCTTAAACATCCTGAAGTAATTGATTATCTTACAATTATGAATAAAATCAAGTGGGGTGCGAGATTTATATAGCTAAAAGGCTTGAAAATGCTTAATATATAAATCTATAATTCTAGATTGAAATGGAAATTCAACCAACCAAGACAAATTCCATTAACACAATAGTTGTGGTCGTACGAGGTTTAGGTTTATGTGTCAGTTCAACGACGATGATGCCTTCTGGTTTTTGGTAATCAGAAGCTTTCCCTATTCTAAATAATTAACTATGCAGGCTTTTCCATATACACCAAAAATGACATATCAGGTAGCCATGACGGAGTAGGTGGCTCAAAAGCTATGTGGCATGTCGTTGTTGGCTGTACTGAGTTTCTAGTTTGCCCTTTTTAACGGCTACTTGAAACCAGGTATATGTAACCATGTGCTCAGTTATTGGCCTCATTAAATAATTTTAGTTGATTATATACATTTTTAAAAATTTAAATTTTCTCACGTTTGGCACGTGCAAAATTATTGGGGGTAAGAATTTCACATGCATGAATATGATGACACTGCGACGTTGAATTCTCCGAGTACTTAATTTGTTTCACATATCCATCGCAGTTAACGGTGGAAATTTTGATTCATAAAATTGCTCTTGCACGAGTTTCAGGCGGAGTGCAATTTAAAAGAGTTTTGCGAAATAAACCGACCATTGGAGTCGAATGGGGTACAATTTGTTTTATTAAATGGATTCAAAAGGAAGCATCATGATTGCAAGGGCATTGCCTTAGATGACTAATTTTTTTCTTTTCTCAATGATGTGGATTTGTGGGGTGCCTGGTTAACCACTATCCAAGCTTTTGGCTGCTAGATGATCGGGTCCAAATTGCAACCCCAATAACTCATTGGAAAAGCAATTGACCTAGCTCATTCCTGTGGAAAGTGGAGACCAATCAGGCAAGTCATGCTAAGGAAATAACTGAAACTGGTTTCCTTCTGGGGAATCAACTATATCAGCAATGGAACGCTTTTCCTTGTTGAAGAAGAGATCTTCAAGGTTGTATGGCCCAACAGAAGAAGGATGTCCACTCCACAGTGCTTTTGCGAATTGCTCGTGGATTCTCTCAGTTGGATGGAAAGAGTCCCACCAGACATGATCATCTGCGTTGTCGCACAACTGGTAGTCCTTGACATTCTTTGTGCCTCCGCAGGTGAAAACACCCCCATATGGTCCAGTTCCACAGCAAGCATTTACTCCATCTTTGAAACCTGCACGATCAAAGGAGAATGGTTTATGATCACAGAGAAAGATAAAAGAACAAAACATATAGAGCAGTGATTCAATGGAAGGAGATGAATCAGAGGCATACTTACCATACTTTGAGGGATTGTTCATTCTGTCATCTAGCCATTCATAGAAATCAGAATTGCAGTATTTGAGGCCTGGTAACATATGTTCAATACTTGCAAGGATGGCTTTCAAAGCATTGTTATGTGCCTGCGCAAGGCTGCAAGCTGCTTCGAGACATTTGCCTTCATTGTCTTTGAAGTTCAATGCTCTGAGAGCTGGTAGGCAGCCTAGTGGAGACAAGCTAAGAAAGCCAAATTTTCTCGCTCCTTTCTCGTACAGCAACTGATTATAGAAAAATCACGAAAGGTATTGAAAATAGCTAGAGTCAGAGTGAAGTATTGCAGTTAAAAAGCTTAGTTGTGGCCTTGAGGGCTTACTTGGATTGATTGGGTCAAGTTCCCAATGACCATTCCAATATACGCTTCAGGAGGATAAGATTCTTGCATTTTGGGATTACCTAGATAACCTCCCATGTAATCATTGCTTCCTATGCTGATGAAGTAAACTGCTTCTGCTATAAGTTCCTTCGTTTGTGCTTCTCCTAACTTTTCTACTAATGATTTTTGCACCTCCTCGAAATTCTTTAGTTGTGTACGAAGATCAATCACCTGATAACAGAGCAAAATAACATGTTCATATTAAATGTAAATCACAAGTTCACAACGGCATGAAACAATAGAAAATCTGTTTCTTTTTCCCTGACCAGTTATAGAGATAGAATAAATCCTGAGTTCCTTACCAAGCCCTGATTGGTTTCAGGAAGAACCCCACCTCCACCTGAGGCAAAGTTAGCACCACTGGTGTAATCAACAGAAGGTTGTAAAAATGGAGGAATCAGAGGCAACTTTGCATATTCGGCTGCCAAAGCAGAAGGAAGTAAGTTCATGGAGTATTCAAAACATGTTCATAACTCCAAAAAAAAAAAGAATCCTCATGTAACCGTGATCTCGTACCAATATAATCCACTATCACCCGACCATCTGAGAATCTTCCTGTTGGTTCTGCAAAGAATCCATTCTGCCCATACGGCTTGTAATCTGCTCTGTTTTCAGGGATAGTGCTGATGTAATTGTTGTTGCCAGGATCGACTGTAGAGTCTCCAAAAATGAACAGAGCACTGCCCTTCAAGTGGAGTACCAAATACCCTGGAGTTAGTCGACAATAATAGTACTGTTGCACAAATTTTGAAGAAATTTATGTAGAAGATTAGCTTTGCCATCTGGAATTTACAAGTATTGTGTCAAATATTAGAACTTTATATAACTCAACTTTGATAGTATCCAGCGGTATCTTCAATGAATTTGCCAAATCTTTATGGAAGATGCAACAGCTTCAATGTCATTTGGACAGATGTTACCTCGCAATCATCAACATTCGTCGGCCCCTACCCAATGCTCTTAACATATTTTATTAACTACAAAATGAACATATCACTTCGACCAAACTTAGCTTATCAAAATTGGAATATTAGAAGCATAATTCTAAGCAAGTCCTTTTACATGATCTTTCTTTTCGCCGTCAAGTCCATAAATTCTGTGTATAACAATGTGTATTAGATAAAGTTTTCTTAAAATATTCTTATCAATTCTAAAAAATTGTCATTATTGCTCAAGAATAGGCCTG